CCCTCGGTACTTTCCGGGATCCAGGCCGCCAATACCCTTGGGGTAAATGGCGTCCGGGTCCGGATCTGTATGGTGGGTTCCCCGGAGCCCTCGGCTATCTTCTTCTGCATTTCCTCCATCTTGGCCAACATCGCCTCATACTTGAGGTCTGTATGAGGGGCAGAAGTGGTGGCGTGTGCTTTGGTGGCCTCCATCTCGTCAAGCCGGCGCTGGAGGGCCACAATGATTTCGTCCCGGGGGTCCTTCGGGAGGGCCTTCGCCCCCTGCGAATGGACACGGGCCGAGTGGGCCTGGTTGATTTGGTGGCGGGCGTCGTTGGCATGGAGAGGTGCCTTGCCTTTGTCCTGAGGGGGACGCCTTTCATTGGCCCTCGAGACGGACCCGCCACTTTCCTGAGGCCTCTGGAACGCCTTCCCCCCGAGGCGGTCTTGGACCCCTCGGCGGTATTGCGCCCCTCCGAGTCTCTCAAGGGCGGAGGTCCGGAGTTGTTCTTTGTTTACGTTGTGGCGATCCCGGGACTGGACTTCTTGGGAGGCCGTATCTTGGGACACGACCCCCTCAGAGTCCCCAATCCGGAGGACCAGGTTCCCGAGGGGGTGTGGATGAGGGGGAGGCATAATATTCTCCCCGACCTGAGGTTAGAGGGGAACCAAAGTGCCGAAGGCACCCGGGTTCTGGGTGAGCGTCTGGATGAAGGCGGAGAGCGCCGATTGTACGTCGATTGTGATGACCGGAGGGCTAATTTGATTCCCACTCCGGTCCTTCTTCTTGGCCTCGATGCTGAGGCGGGCATCGGGGGAATTCTGTTGAATCTGCTGGCGTAGGTCGACAGCCGTCTGGTCCAACCCGGCGATGACGCCGCCCCCAGGAGCCCTGTTAGAGGCTTCGGGGACGTCGACTTCGCCGAGGGCCAGGTTCCTGTCCTCGACATTCCTGGAGTTGGCACGAGTTGTTCTCACCATTTTAGCTAGGTGTTTTGTGTTTGGTCGAGGGGGAGGGTTTCTTACTTGATTGTTCGACCTCTCAACGAGAGCACCAAATGATGGATAGTGTACCCGGGGGTAGCTTATCCGAGGGGTTATTAGGGGGAATAAGTAGAGAGAAGTCAGAGCAAGTAAGTAGAGAGAGAGTATATTAGAAAGTGTATTCAGCGTTTCCTGCGTCTTGGTTACAAATGGGGAAATGGGGTGCTATTTATAGTAGCAATAAATGCCAGACAGGGACACGTGTCAAGCATCCATTGGCCGAGGGGTCACCTCAACTGGTTGGCGCTGGCAATCGCATGTGGCCGCATTTAATGCGGGTGTTGGATGTGACGTCGTACTTGGTACGGTGATCCATACGCATGTGGAGCGGATATCATGTCGGAAAAGGTGCCCTCGGTTGTAGATGACTAGCCGAGGGCTCTGAGTACCGGGGACCCCCTTAGTGTCGAGGGCTCTAGGTGTCAAGGGCCACTGATTTTCGCCGTTTTCTCCCAGTTCCTTTGTTTTCCTGATTTGGGCATCCTGTGAGAATTGGAGCCTTCGTCCAGGGGGCCGAAGGCACTCCTGGTGCGCACTGCGGGCCGCTTGGTACTCTGGGCGCTGTGATTTGGGCCTGTTGTGCTTCCTGGGCCTATTGGGCCTTTATTGGAGTAATAGGAGTCACTCTCTTATCAATTCTCTCATTGTCCCAGATTCTAATGGTTGGGTAAGCACTCTGCATAATTTGGCCTTTGAATTGTACTCGGTCAAAGTAACATATCATTAGAAACAGTAATGATCCACTGAACATCTTTGATTGATTAGCTTGCCATTCCTCGCCTGCATCCATCAACGATCTTCTTGTGTAGTTACACCAGTTCATCTTTGGTATATCAGCTACATTCACCAAAGACATCAATATTTTAAAATTGTTGTTGACACTCTGGTTTCCTCTGATCAGGAAAGAGACTGTAAAGACCACAAAGTTTCTGATGAATCTGTCTCCAGAATCAGCATCTGCAACTATTTTTTCAATCATTTTTTATGTTTGAGGGCTTCCTTTATCAACCCCTCATTCTTCTCTCCATTCTTGCAGCAGTTGGATATACTCTTCAATTTCATTCTTTGCATACGCTTCTTGAACTTCTATCTTTCCCTTTGGCAGACCAAATAAAGCTTTGACATCTTCATCTTCAATATCTAGCAGCTCACCATTGGCAAGTTGTAGCTATCCTGAAATTGGTCTAAAGTTCTTCAACTGAAACGCAACCAAATCTCCATAGAATCTGTTAAAGTTTAAATGCAGTAATCCCCCAAATCCAATCCTTTCAACTGCTGCTTTTTTTCTTTCATCTAATCGTTTAATCAACTTCATGAAAGGGGCTGGTCCTACTCTTGTTCTGAGGTTTAGAGAAGGCGGCTTGTTGCTTGTCTCTACTTCTTCACATTCATCGTCTGATTCTTCAGATTCTTCTTTCTGCTTTTTTGGGGCTGTTTTTCTTTTTTTGCTTGTTGTTGGCTGATGATATTCTAGCCTTAGAATCGGTTCTTCTGTGTTCACATTCTGATGTTCTGTATGCTGAGTTTCATTTTCAGGAGCTCTAGCACTTCTTGTATTCCTTATATTATACAAATATGACATTGAAGTGATGTTACAACATTGACAAGGATATTGTCACACACATGTTACACATTACATTGACAATGTAATGTGGGCTTAGTATAAGTCACCTAATAAAGCACCAGGGTTACATACGGTCACACAGATGTTACATAGCAGTGAAATGCATTTACATCATTGACAATCATATGAACAATAAAATGTGGAGCACATGAGTTACATATTGTCACACACAATTGACATAATAGTGAAATGAAGTTACATCATTGACAATCAGATGAACAATGTGATGTGGAGCACATGAGTTACATATTGTCACACATAATTTACATAACAGTGAAAGGAAGTTACATCATTGCCAATCAGATGAACAATGTGATGTGGAGCACATGAGTTACATATTGTCACACACAATTTACATAACAGTGAAAAGAATTTCCATCATTGACAATCAGATGAACAATGTGATGTGGAGCACATGAGTTACATATTGTCACACACAATTTACATAACCGTGAAAAGAAGTTACATTATTGACAATCAGATGAACAATGTGATGTGGAGCACATGAGTTACATATTGTCACACACAATTTACATTGAGGCATACTAAGGCATAACAAACATATTGAGGCATGCAACACTATATTACCAAAAATTGCATTTACATCTTAACATAGACAATTTCCATCAGAGCATTTTTAACAACAATTGAAGTTAGATCTGAGCATACACACTTCGCTTATTCAAATTGACATCACAATAAGACATAAATCACACTATTCAATACTCAATCTCTTTCGTTTTTGAGAGTGACTTACATGCATGTTGAAATTTATAGCAGATTAGCACATGAATCATATTGTTACATGCTCAGACATACATTTTGAACTTGAAAAAGCAAAGTACATAGTTCGTTCGGATGAAATACCTTGCAACTGTTTTGCCTTTAGACCTCGTCATTTTCTCGATCTGCAAAACGTTCTTCTTCGTTTGGATTCTTACTTTTCCTTCTTCAGAATGCTTACTCTTCCTTACTCTTCCTTCTCGCGGAATGCACTTCGAATGGTGGAACTCTGTCTGATGAAACTTGATGGAAGAGTGAAGTCAAAAAGTTTATCGAGAAATGTAAATCGCGAATTTCAAAAGACGCTATTGGGAGAAAAGACGCGCCAGCGTGGAGAATGCCGTTTGCGCGCGTTTTTTAATTAATGCTGGAACGACGTCATATATTGGCGGGTGTAGGATGCTCATAGTGAGCCGGTCGTATGGTATACGGACTGGTCTTGGAGGGACAAAAGTATGGGGGGAGTTGAACCTGTCCTATATTGCGCGCGTATACCGTGCAACCGGTATACGGTGAGCACCGTATACCGGGACGACTTTATATTTTTTTTTTCCTTTTGTTTTTAAAAATGGTAATAACTTTTTTATTTTTGATCCGATTTTTAAAAAATTTATATCAACATTTTTTATTTTTCATGATCTTTCAAATGAGACCAATATTGCCAATGTAATTTTAATATATTAACATTTGTGTGTAAAATATGTAACTTTAAGTGTTAAAATATGTAACTCACGTTCAGTCAAGTCAAATGCAACTCGTGTGTATAAATATGTATCTCTACGTGTAACAATATGTAACTTTACGTAAAAAAATATGTAACTCGCATTCAGACAGGTCACATGCAACTCGTGTGTATAAATATGTAACTTTACGTGTAAAAATATGTAACTTTACGTGTAAATATATGTAAGTCACGTTCAGACATGTCAAATGCAACTCGTGTGTATATATATATGTAACTCGCTTATAAAAAGATGTAACTTGCTTATAAAAAGATGTAACTCGCTTATAAAAAGATGTAACTCGCTTATAAAAAGATGTAACTCGCTCATAAAAAGATGTAACTCAATGTATTATCAAATGTAACTGAGGCCACTGATCCACTCTCAAATAGATTCGATCTTCTATTTCACAAACCTATCATCTCCCAAACAGATTCGATTTTTCTTATAATCCAATACTCATTAATATAATAGTTTGATAATTTCTTAAAATTACATACACAATATTGGTCTCATTTGAAAGATCATGAAAAAAAAAAATGTTGATATAAAATTTATAAAAATCGTATCAAAAATAAAAAAGTTATTATCATTTTTAACATCAAAAGCAAAAAAAAAGGAGATGTTGCGTCGTTTTTGCAACCGGGCGCACCATCCTCATGGTGCGCCGGTTGCACCATAGAATGGGTTTGAAAGAGTGGCGTGGGAAAATTTTGGCGGCCTGACGGGTTTGATTTTCACACTATCAACAAAGTAGATATTTGAACAACGATTCCGTAAAATTAGATTCGCTCTTTATTTAATTTAAAGATCTAAAGCACATGTTTCTTTGTTTTGGTATCAACTCGTTAGTTCAGTTTAAACACAAATAAACTAATGCAATAGTGGAGCCGACGGAAATAAGTTCGTGAAGGTGAGACTATGATGTACGGAGTATTTAATTGATTGGTAAGAGAGAGAAGAAAACTTTAGGGTGAAAAAAACGTGTATTTGAGTTCGTAAAGGATCAGGATTTCCAACTCGATCACTTCTCTCCATCTATATATATGTTTATTCCATATGAAATAACAACATAATTTAGAAAGATTTTTACGAGATCAGAGAGGATAAGAGATTTATTCCAGGTCATTCATCTATTATGGATCCAGGTATTCCTAAATTTCAATCTATTATTATATAATTACGTATAATTATATGATGTCTTTTTTTATATGGAAATCTTACTTTCTTCTTTTTATTTTATCAATCCAAATCAATTCCGTAAGCAAAAAAAACTTGATACTGTTTTTAATGAATTCTTGATAAATACTTGTACAGTATTGATGGCATGATATGGTCAAATCTAGGGTTTTTGTGTGATCAATAGAAACTACGTAGTAAAATTTTATATCCAAAGTTCTAAACTCGTACCATACGCACAATTTAATTTTATTATAAAATACGATCCCAAATTCTCGGGCCTTTACATCTTACGAGGGGTTTTAAGAATGATTTTTTTTTATTTGGTCACTGCATATAAAAATCTATTTTCTGAAACCGGGGAACTGATTCGGTCAGGCCAGTTTTTAAAACATGAAAAATATCTTACTTTAAACATTACATAAGATCATTCATATCTTCATACACATATACAATATTACATAATTTTGGGAAATATCAAATATGCGTGAAATTGAGACTTCTTTTTTTTTTTGAAGAAAGGCTTCCCTATTGGATGGACGTCTTTAATTTGGCGCATCTTTGGAATGTCTACAGTTTTATGCGTTAGTAGATACGTAGTAGATAGTTAGGACTTAGGACAGTGCTTTTGTGTTTTAATTAAGTTTCAACACTATGTCGATCATGTTTATATATTTGATTATTTTCTAGTAATTACTACATTCTAGCTTTTTTATTCTCTAACTTTCTATTTTTGCCATTAATTACAAAATCTGTAATTAATACGGAGTATTGAATTGGTTAATGCAGTGGCAGAGGCTAAATTCATGGCAATTTTGAACTTTTTCGAAGATGATGGAGAAACGTTTGCTATCCAACTTGTTCAAGACCTCCACGAATCCTATCAAGTCATGGCAGAAAAACACTTTCGTGATGAGGGGAAAAAGAGTGAGGACTATGATGGAAGAGCGCATCCATTATGTGATCACACGATCAGCACTTTAAAGTCAATATTAAAGACGCTCAAGAAACAAAACGAAGATATCAAGATACTCACTCGTGAAGTTGAGTTATTGAGACGTTTGGATGATGGAGGGCGGGTGAAAAAGAATTCCATTTTAAATAAATTGAAGCATTCTCTTTCCAAATTCTTTTCTTTCTTTTATTTTGGAAGGTTTTAAATTCTATGTATTTTATTGGGAATCATAGTACTATTTGGAAGATTTTTCTTTGTTTATTCTATTATGTGTTGTATAGTAGAGAAGATTAAGAGTCAAACATGAATAAATAAAGTGCACTAATAAGAATATATCTTATCATAATTTATGGATCGCTTAGGCCTATTTTAAATAATAAAGCACTTAATCTTCTTAATGTAGGAATAAATTATATTCTTATTGAGTAATTTAAATGCTGTATTTCTTGATTTTATGTAGACCAACTTATAATTGGGGGCTGGGTGCGTTATCAAGTATACACAAATTAAAGTCATTAATCTAATTTTCTCATTGATTCTCGGTATTATATATGCAAGCAGTACTATATACGAAGTATATGTTATCTCGATCATTTAACGATATATATTAGGGAAACATAATAGTGACGAGTGACATTAGTTACGTTTTATACAAAGATCGAACAACAATTGCAATTAGTGACTACGTACGAACCTCTTTGCCATCAATCATTAAATGATTGGATTCGCTGATTTATGAGAAACTATATTCAAAATATATTATATTAATTAATAAAAAATAAAAAATTATATGAAAAATACCTAAAATTTTATTTGCAGTTGATGGAGTATATGGCCCGGGAACCCCCGGCCCACAGACTCCTACTACTCCAGCAAAGGCCCAACAGGCCCAGAAGGCTCAACAGACCCAAATCACAGCGCCCAGAGTACCAAGCAGCCTGCACTACGCGCCAGGGGTGCCTTCGGCCCCCTGGCCGAAGGCTCTAAACTCTTACAGAACGGGGTTCTCAAGCAAACTAAGAATCTGGGAGAAAACGGCAAAAACAGTAGCCCTCGGCACCAGGAGCCCTCGGCACCAGGGGGCCATCGGTTTGAGGAGCCCTCGGCTGCTGCCCTATAGCCGAAGGCACCTCTCCCGACATGATATCCGCCTCACATGCGTACAGATCACCGTACCCTGTACAGACGTCCCATCCAACAGCCGCATTAAATGCGGCCACATGCGGCTGCCTACGCCAACCAGTTGAGGTGACCTCTCGGCCAATGGGCGCTTGACACGTGTCCCTGTCCGGCATTTATTGCTACTATAAATAGCACCCCATTTCCCCATTTGTAACCACGCTGAAAACGCTCCACATTTATAATATGCTCTCTCTCTCTACGCTTACTTGCTCTGACTTCTCTCTAAGTTATTCCCAGCAATAACCTTCGGATATATACCCCCGGGTAGACTATCCATCATTTGGTGCTCTCGTTGAGAGGTCGAACAATCGAGTAAGAAACCCTCCCCCTTCGCCGAACACTAGCCCTCTACCAAAATGGTGAGAACTACTCGTGCCAACTCCAAAAACGTAGAAGACAAGAACCTGGCCCTCGGCGACGTCAACGCCCCCGAAGCCTCTCACAGGGCTCCCGAGGGCGGTGTCATCGCTGGGTTGGAACAGGCGGCTGTCGACCTCCACCTCATTTCAGAACGCCGGGAGCAGGCCTTCATCCGGGCAGAAAATTACCGAAGGCAAGTCAAAAGCTACATCGACGCCAAAGTTCGCACCAGAGAATTCCAAGTGGGGGACTATGTCCTCCGGAAGAGGGAAGCCAGCCAACCGACCGAGGGAGGCAAAATGGCACCAAAATTCGAAGGCCCCTACATCATAGCAGCCATCATCAAACTTGGGACTTACAAACTCAAACGCCCCAACGGGAAAGAGGTCCCTAGGCACTGGAATGTACACCATTTAGTTAAATTTTACCAATAATGTAAGAGCGACCAAGCCCTCATAACTAATGAATGTACTATCCTATGGCCCAAGGCCTCCACTTTTGAGGAATGAAGACACATTCAAGACACCACGCCCTCATACTGATTACAGGTCCCAGGCCTCACCACGAGAAGAACCCCCTCCGGCACCAAGTGCCGAGGGCGGACACCATCAACACCTACAACAACAGGAGAACACCATGTGTTTTCGAACAAGACCCCTCGGTACCAAGTACCGGGGGAGGGAACTCCTATCACCAACGACAAAGAACGCCATGTGTTTTATCTCCCTTCGGCACCCAGTGCCGAGGGTACACCCCCACCTTCAACATCAAAAAAGAAAAGATAAGATCACCAAGTGTTCCTACAGAAGACCCTTCGACACCCAGTGCCGAGGGTACACCTCCATCATCAACATCAAAACGAAGAAAAACACCAAATGTTTCAAAGCAGACCCCTCGGCACCCAGTGCCAGGGATATGCTCTCCTATCAGCTTCCAAACATCTGTTGGGAAACACCAAATGTTTCCTCCGAGGGCCCTCCGGCACCAAACACTCCAATCAAAACACCAAGTGTTTCATTTGAAGACCCCTCGGTACCAAGTACCGGGGGCTACGCATCGAAACTAACACCAAGTGTTGTTTCTAAAAGTCGTACCCCACGAGGACGCATATACCGAAGGCGCCACCATCGGTGCCGGCGGCACGTAGTGCCCCCGGCCATTTGCAACTAGTGTGCAAATGAAAACCCTTCCTTGAAACGCTTTCCGCGTCACTACCCCCAGGGTATGACAGGCATGAGAAATGCCCAGGATTCGACTTTCAAAAACGGAACGCTATCCGCGTCATCACCCCAAGGGTATGACAGGCACGAGAAATGCCCAGGATTCGACTTCCAAACCGAAACGCTCCCCGCGCCACCACCCCAAGGGAGTGGCAGGCCACGGACTATGTCTAGCGCCGAGGGGACGACTTTCAAAAGTGAGGCACTTTCCGCGCCATCCCCCAAGGGGAGGCAGGTTACAGACCACCATATCTTGTGCCCAGGAAATGACCCTCGATCCCCTCGGAACTCGGAAGGTTAACCCGAGGGAGGAGAGCCATTGGTGTATTCTGATGGTCTCCTAATAGGCCCAGCCTTACCAAGAAACCAAGTTTCTTGATGCCTTCCCTTCACCGTCAACCAAAAAAGAAAAAAAAACAAAAAAATAGAAGAGGGGGTGAAGGGGAGTAGACTCAGCGAGAAATCAAAGAGTACACTCCAACAGGTCACAACATACCGAGGGCTCCCCACGGGAACACCTCCGGTAATTGAAGGCTCCTATTTCCCGAAGGATACTACTCAAACGAATATCATCAAAAACGGCTAAGTCCACTGCTTGGTCACCTCCGGTCACACAGGCACCGAAGGCTTCGACAATACGAAGGGACCGGACTATCCAAAGTTTACTAAACGGTGATTCAAACAAATACCGAGGGCACATACTCCTCATCGGCTTTCTTCACAACAACAGGAGTCCACAATTTTCCTAAGTCCACACTCTTGGGAAATGATAAACAACCAAAGACATCTAGTACAAATCATCAAAAGCCAACCGAGGGGGACTATTCCAAAATATTTGCCCCTCGAACAGACCCCTCACTGACCGAAGGTCCAACATCTACGACACTGTGAAATTTTGCTAAGTTCCACATATTTGGCCCTCGGTCAAATACTCATACAACTCAAGGGCCCCACGATCACCCGAAGGGTCCTATTCATATACTCGGAGGGCTCTACATCCGGAAGCTCAACATCACTTTACGCTTAAAAAATATTCTAAGTCCTAAATGAGTAGCCCCCGGACATCTCGCAAAGTGATGCAGGGTCAGAGGGCACCTATCACCCGAAGGCGACACAAGGAAGCAGCACTTGGAAAAAATTCTAAGTCCTAAAGATTGGGCCCCCGGCCCAACCAATATTACAACTAAGGGAATATGATAGCCGGAGGCTGTGCGATACAACAGCACTTAGAAAATTTTCTAAGTCCTACATATTCCCCCCCCCCCCCCCCCCGGTCAACTACTCATACATCAAGAAGGGATGCCATCTCCCGAAGGCCCCCAAGGGAAAATCTACACTTAGAAATTTTTCTAAGTCCTAGGAATTGGGTTACTACAAACACCCGAAGGCCCTATGGTGTGCTACACTTAGAAAAATTTTCTAAGTCCTAATTACTGCTGAACCCTCGGTTGCATATCCAGCAGAGGGTGCCCAACTACCGAAGGCTTCCAAGGGCAAGCTACAATCAGAAAATATTCTAAGTCCTAAAACATACATTCAAAGGAGCAAAGGCATACATCCAAAGCAAGACGAAGGCATATATTCGACAGTGAACAAATCAAAAGGAAGCATATGATATATCAAAGGCCCGAGGGCATGTGTACTCATTCATTCAAGAAAAAAGAGGAAGTTTAATTGTACTTTACAAAGGAGACCGAGGCCAATAATTACAACAAAAAAGGGGGAATACAATTCAAGAAGGGGGGACTGTGGATATTGCCTCGCTCTCAGCTTCATCCTCTTCACCCCCAAGGCCGCACTCCCGGAGGGTCTCCGAGTCTTCAAGAACTGGCCTCTCTTCCCCCTCGGGGAGCGGGATCCTGATGTCTGGCTGGCGAGGCGGGAGGCCATAAGCCTCTGGGCGGAACTCCTCCGGTGCCACCTGAAAGTGTTTCGCAAGCTTTCGGTAGATAAGGCGTTGGGTGAAGAACTCCCCGCCTTGGTAGTACGAGTCGCCCCTCTCAGCAAGCCACATTTTTCCGGGGCCTCCGACCCACTCGTCCACTGAAGCCCCCACCACCGAAGCAAGCCACTCCCTCCGGTCTTCGGCCTTCCACCCCTCGGCTGTGAAGCTGGTCACCGCATCCTCTCGGGCCTTGGAGACGGCCTCTTCTTGAGCCGCGCGGGCTTCATCAGCAGCAATGCGGGCGGCCTCGGCAGCGGCCTCCCCGGCCCTGG